TCTGACCTTGAAAAAAAAAAAAGGTTATGTGAATTTGCAAAAATACACAAAGGTAAAGAGTGAAGATAATAAACCTCCGTGTACCATTAGGCAACTTCAGCAGTCACCGTTCTGCCAGTCCGGTTTCATCCACCCCCCTAAACTTAACTCTTTCCTCCCCTTTTCCCTCTCCTTTCCTGAAGCATTTTAACACAAAATACAAAGCATCATCCTTTTCAGTATGCATCTATAACTAGAATACTTTCTTTTTTAAACATACGTATCAGGTTAAAATTTTAACGTGTTAGAAGCACACCTAGATTTTTCCCTCAGTATCAAAGACATCTCTTTTAAGTCCCCCTTCTCTTTCTGCACGCTATTGATTTGTTGAAGGAGCTGGGTCACTTGCCAGGATTCCTCTAAGGATTGCTTCCTTGAGCTATTGTTTAGCGTGTGTTTCTTGTAAGCTGGACGTTTAATTAGATTCAGGCTCAACTATTTTACTGACTTTCTAATATAGAAGATATGAAGTGAACACAGTAATATGGAGGCTGGGGACCTGTGAGATCTCCTTTCTGAAATCAGAGATATCACAGGTGTGGGGTGTGGTGACGGGGACAGGGCTGGCTAATCAAGGCATTCAGTGTGGAGTGTATGAGTTTGAGCTAAAATGCTCAAACCCAGCCGTGAGATCCAGGAGCCGGTCTGCAGGGTGACGAGGAGAGGGAGGGGTACCATTTCTCTGGCTAGGATGCTTTTTCAAATAGTTCCTCAGTGATCCGCAGTTCTCAAGCTATCCACTCGTCCATTGAACAGAAGATTAAGAAAAAAGGTCAGCCGAGGGAAAAGAAATGAAATGGGCACAGAAAGAGAAGAGGCATGGGAGGGGAATGAATGAGGCTGGGTCTCAGTTCATTCTGAGTGTCTGGGGTTTCCCGGACTTCTCACCAGGGTCTCTGTTGAAACGTCTCCTCCCAGCCATATGACCCTCTGGTGGTACCAAGCAGCCGGCAGCCTTTCAGAATTCACTGAACTTCCTAAAGCAGCTGCTATAGGGGGTGGGGGATGGACTGGCGGCCGCATGAGGCATGAAGCACACCATCAGGAGCAGGCAGTGAGTGCACGCTCCTGTGGCACCCAAACAGGGACGCACAAGGCGGAAGCTTCACTCACAGTGGAGCCTCCACACTGCTGCGAGTGGGGAGATGATTGCTGGATGGCCTGGGGTGTGGGGCCCAGCGGTGCATGGGCTTGAAGAGGGATTACCCAGAATCAGATACATATTGTGCCGTTGTTTCCACCACTAAGACGGACTCTGGGTCATCAGAGATGAGAACTAGTCACTTGTATGCATGAAGTGGTATTAGGACACTTGAGACAGAGAGACAGAGAGTCAGGGAGAGACTGACTTTCCTAGCGGTGATCCTGGGCCAGTTACTTAACACCTCCTGGCCTCAGTTTCCTCACCTGTCAAGTGGAAAAAATAACACTGATATGAATCACCTTATGAAGTTGGGTGAATGAAGCAAGGTACACATACACAGTGCTCAGCACTATGCCTGGACCTGGTAAGTATTCCTCCAAGTGCCTAAAACAGTGGCTGACATTTTATGGCACTCAGTACATTTCTATTGAATGGATGAATGTTAGCCATTATGCAAAAGTTGAGGATTATTTCTGCATGCTTGTGCTGGCTGATACTATGGAGATCTACATCAGCACAGGGAGTGAGGAAAGTTATATTTTTAGGAGGTGCATCTACATATAGTAAAACTAATTATCAGGTATAAATGGGTCTTCACATATCAACGGAGGCACATCCGAAGCCATGTGTGTACGCTGGTCATTTAAGTACAGGTTCCAGGCCCTCAGAATTTTCTGATTGCTGCTGTTTCAGGTCCCTGCAGTGCCTTTCCCGATCGTTATAGATCTGTGTGTTGTCTGTCTGCTCTTGGAGTGAAGAGTCCCCATTAGCACTCTTTAGGAAATAGGTGCTCAGTAAATACTGGACGACTAGATCAGATACAGTTTTGCAAGACAGGAAACCCACTTGAGTTTTACTAGAAACACTAGAGGCCCGGTGCATGAAAATTCATGCTCTGGAGGGGGGTCCCTCACAGTACAGGAGCCCTCACGGGTGGGAGGCGACCTGGTGATCAGGGGAAGGCGATGCCCTCATCACACCTCTGCAGCTGCCACTGCTGGCAGCACAAGCCTCGGCCAGCCCTGGTTACTTGAGCCTTGGGTGGCCCTGGTCAGCTGGGCAGCTGCCATCCGAGGCTTGCCTGTGCCTCGGGCCGGCCCTGGGTGGCTAGGGGGCTGAGGGGACTGGGGGACTCTGGAAGCAGGCACGCAGCAAGGCTGGCGGGGCTGAGGGGACTGGGTGCCACCATCTTTGTGTCAGTGTGAGGGTCAATTAGCATATTCCCTCCTTATTAGATAGAATTGCTTAGAACCTACATGTTAGAGATATTTTATATGGAGAGCCCACTCCTTGGCCAGTGGCTATGGAACTTTTTCCATCACCTGTTGCATCTGACCGTGTGACTGTGTACACCTGTCATGGTCGTCAGACCCCAGGCATTGAGGGGGGTCCAGCAGATCTCAAAGATGTGTGGACATGGCCTTTGCCTGTCAGATTGCAGTCAGATGGGCCAGAGCAGGCTGAAAGCGAAAGGAAATGGGGGGCTTTGTGCCCACGTGGCAAGTTCTCTGGACGCCAGAGGAGGGGAATGTGGCCTGGAGGCTGAGCACGTGGTAGTTTTGAGAAGTGGATAGACCACAGCCACGCATTCGCAGAAAGCTCATGCATTACTTCTTTGGTTTGATGGGCAAGGCGAGGTTTGTGTCCCCGAGACCTACTGTGTGCTACGGCTACCACTCCATGTTTTCTACAGAGAGCCTGGAGCTGCATCAGAACTGGGAATTCATCCTGGTTCTGCCCTTTGTTAGCTGGGATTTATTTCTGGTTGTAAGACCACTTTCATGGAAAGGCCCACCTGGCACGTCCTGGCCAGTCTCAGTTTCCCTAGCTGTAAAATGGGGATAACAGTTGTACCTCCTTCGTAGGGTTATTGTACTGAGTGAGGTCACGTGTAGCCCCATCATTAGGTGGGCTGAACTTGGAGGGGACTCAGGAAATGGCGTTTTCATGAGCCCAGCTCTGTCCTCAAGGCGAAGTGGTCTCTCCCCACTTTGCCCCTTCAGAGCGGCTCAGTTAGAGTGCCTGGATTTCCTGCACATCACCGGCATCACACAGTCCAGTTTGCATCAAAGTCAGTTTAAAGCTTTTCCTCGTGCCCCCCCCTCCCGGGCGCACCCCCCCCCCCCATATCCCCCCTCCTCCCCGCCCCGCAACTCAGGAGTCTCAGAAATAGCATGCAGCAGGGTCAGCATGGCACCCTCTGGCATTTTAAAAAATTGTTTAAAGTATTACCTATGTCTCCTTTCCCCCCCAATTGTCCCCCCCAAACTCCTGTCCCTCCCCCAGGACGAGCCCCCACCACCCCAGTGTCCGTGTCCATTGGTTATGCTAATATGCATGCATATAAGTCCTTTGTTTGATCTCCTTACCCTCCTCCCCCTCCCCCCACCTTCTCTCTGAGCTTGGCCGGTCTGATCAGTGTTTCTTAGTCTCCGGATCTATTTTTGTTCATCCGTTTATGTTGTTATATCCCACATATGAGCGAGATCATGTGACCCTCTGGCATTTTTGGCCTTGCTCCCCCTCGGTGCTTCCTGCCTCCTCCTCTGGCCCCTCAGAGCCAGGATCGAGGGCTGGGGAGAGGAGCAGAGAGGCAGGGCCTCCCGCTGAGCTGGTACGCTTGGCTCTCTCCTGCTGCTTGTGACTCCTGTCATAGCCGGCCTTTGTGCGGGCACATTAGTCATCCTTTAGAGATACCTCCCCTGTCCCCTCAGGGACCTCCCTGAGGACCTCCCTGATGCCCTGCCCAGCTGACCCTGTAACCCCCCACCGCCTCCTGCCCCGAGGCCCCTGGGCCAGTCGGCCTCCCTCCCGTCATCTTGTCCTTTCCCAAGGAGCCTGGCTGCCTCTGTGCTGGCCTCTCAGCCCCTGGCAAGTTCACGCATCCTTGTCCTGCCACGTAGTCCCAGCCCCTCCCTCTCCTCTCTGCATCCCTAGGTGAGGGCCCCCTCCTGGCAACCCCCTGCCCTCCGCTCCAGAAACAGCCTGGGCAGCCCTGCAGGGTCATGGGGGCGCCGTGCCATTTCCTTTCTGAAAGATGAAATAGAGAGGGCCGGAGACCGGGATGCCCGGACACAGGCTTTATTGAAGAGAAGAGTACCACTGCCAGCTGCTTCCAGAGAGAGAGTGGAAGAGAGCGAGGGCCGGGGTACAAGCACCTTTAAGGGAAGGAAAGAGATGGGGCGGGGCTTAGGCCACTCAGCACACGCTGATTGATGGTTTCATGTAAGGCCTATGATTAGGGACCTAGGGACTTAGGAATCGGGGGGAGAGGAGCTTAGGGTATTTGGCAGGTGCTGTTTGGTGGTTCAGTGCTCAGGAATGTCGGCTGCAGGTGGAGTTTACGTCTGTCCATCAGTTGGAGGAAGGGAGGATCTAGGTATCACTATACTTGCAGGCGTCCCAGTCTCTACCAGGGGTTCTCTCTTGTTCCCTCATGGGGAGGAAGAAGATGTCACAGCGCTTTCCTCCCTAACGCATCCCTAGCCTGCTCTGCAGTGGGCCGCCAGGTAGCCAGTCCTGTGAGGATGGGCCCGGTGCCTCCTCTTTTACGAGTAGAGAGTGGGGTTTTCATCACGTCTTCTGTTTGCACTCAGCAGGAAGGGTCCCATCCTGTTCTCATATCAGGTCCAGAGCGCAAGGCCTGGTATGTACCCAACATCCCCTCGCACGGAGCAGGGTGTGCCCATGGAGCTTCTGTGGGCTTCCGTTTTCCCACCTGCAAATGAGGGTTTGTGCTCATCCCCACTGTGCCTGCCGCTGAGTGCCGTGAGGGTGCATCCCAGTATTGTGAGCTGGATCGGTTTATGTATTGTAGCCTCAGCAGAACGGGATCTCTCCACGCATGTTCAAGGCCTTTGTAAGCAAGAGTCATCCGGAATTCTCCTCCAACAGACAGCAGGATGCCCAGGAATTCTTCCTGCACCTGGTGAATCTGGTAGAGGTGAGTAAGCCACCTTCAAAAACGCTCAGCAGGGCTGTGAGAAGGGAGCCTCGTTCCCTTACCTCAATCTCTCACTGCCTCGGCTCCACCAGCCACGGATGGGATCACTCCTGTCCCGTTTCCTAGGTGCTGGTGGATCTGCTGTTTTCCTTTTAACTTCTACGTGCTGTAGGAGTGCCTGTCAGTTATTTCGCTCACCACTCCTTTTCCTTTCCTGGTGACGAAGCTTCTTGAGAGTCCTGGGTGGTGTTTGCTGTCCTCCTGCCGCCACTCAGAGATGGCCAAACCTTGCTCACAGCAGAGCTGAGTCACGTTAATTGCTGCGATTTTCAAAAGCCGCTAAGAATTCATGATTAAAGGTTGTTTTTCCCCCCCTCTCCTTGTTAAAATCAACTCCCCCTTCCCCCGATGACAAAATGTGTTCTCTATGGAAAATACAGAAAGGCATAAAGGAGAATATCAGAATATAAAATCACCCGTAATAGCAGCCCCTACCGACAGCCAGTGTTAGCATTTGGGTGTCTGACCCACCAGGCATTTTCCAGGTGGGTTTAGGAACGTGCTGTTTCTAAGCAACGGTTTCCACGTAACCTGCCGTGAACGCTTTGCCATCTCATTCATAGCTGAATTTAGCATGATGTCTTTTCTTTTTTTTTTAAATATATTTTATTGATATTTTACAGAGAGGAGGAAGGAGAGAGATAGAGAGCTAGAAATGTCAATGAGAGAGAAACATCAACCAGCTGCCTCTTGCACACCCCCTACCGGGGATGTGCCCGCAACCAATGTACATGCCCTTGACCGGAATCGAACCTGGGACCTTTCAGTCCGCAGACCGACGCTCTACCACTGAGCCAAACCGGTTTTGGCTAGCATGATGTCTTTTCCATTTGTGTGTTATGCACACGAGCGCATGTCACAATGGTTATACACGGCCTTGGTTTTCCCAGGGCGGTCCTGTACCCCTTTCTCTTTAGTTTGGCTCCCTCATCCCCTTTCTTTTACCTCCATCCGGGTCAGCCCCTCTTCCATGACTCTGAATTGCTGCCTAATATTAATTCACAGGAGGTGTCACACTTTATTAAGCCAGTCCCCCATTTGGGGACTTCTGATAAATACCAGTGTATCTCTTTTATTTTTATTATATTTTATTTTTTTAATTTCTTTATTGATTATGGTATCACATAATTGTCCTCATCCCCCATTCCCATCCCAAACCCCTCCTCACATATGCCCCCAGCCCCCTGTTGTCCGTGATCACTGGTTAGGCTTATATGCATGCACACAAGTCCTTTTGTTGATCTCTCCCCCTTTCCCCCACCCTCCCCTACCTTCCCTCTGAGGTCCGACAGTCTGATCGATGCCTCCCTGTCTCCAGGTCTGGTTTTGTTCATCAGTTTATGTTGTTCATTATTTCCCCTAGATGCGTGAGGTCATGTGAAACAAGAAATACACTCGTAAGAACCTAAAATGAGACAAGCCATACTGGTTATGCCGAGAGGCAAATGAGTCAGTCGGTAGCTTTGCTTTTAAAGCACTCTTAAGAGAAACGGCATGTCCCAGAGGGATTGTTTCGCAGCATCGTTTGATGTTTACATCAGAGCTGTATTTGATCTTATGCTAATTTTTATTGATGGTTTCATATTCACAAATCCACGAACCTGTGTAATCTGACCTCCAGAGGAACCGCATAGGCTCGGAAAACCCCAGTGATGTTTTCCGGTTTTTGGTGGAAGAACGCATTCAGTGCTGTCAGACCCGAAAAGTCCGCTACACGGAGAGGGTGGATTACCTGATGCAGTTACCCGTGGCCATGGAGGCAGCAACCAACAAAGGTAACGGCTCCCGAGGGGGACAGCAGCCATGGGCTTCTTCCGGTGCGAGAAGCCCGGAAGCAGAGGGCATGGGAATTAGCTGCCACGCAGTTCTGCTGGGCGGAGACCTGACCCAGCTGGCCTGGTGTGCATGTCTCTTTCCATCTTTTCCTCGGTCGCCACGTAATGGGCAAGGGGACAATTTGCATTATATCCTGTATAATAAAAGGCTAATATGCAAATTGTCCCCTTTCAGAGAAGCAAATGCATCACAGATTTTTGTGCAGGGCTATGGGTGGAACTTATTTCTGTGCCTATAAATTTGGCCAACTGTCTGGCTTGGAGACAGCTTCATTCTGGGGAAGATATTTGTAAGTATACATGTGGAAAAGTCTTTAACGGTTTGATCACTCATAAGCTGTGCTATGAAGTCTGAGGGAAACGATCAGAACTGTATCTTAAAAAAAAAAAAAATCTTTATTGATGAAAGTATCACACATGCCCGCTTACCTTCTATCCCCCCATTGACTCCCTCCAGCCCACCTCCACCCCAGGCCTTCACCACCCTATTGTCTGTGTCTATGGGTTATGCACTTCTGCATACAAAGTCTTTGGTTGATTACCTCCCTGCTTGCCTTCCTTCCGAGATTCCACAGTCTAGAACTGCATTTTTTGATGTGAGACATTCAAGCAGCTGCCTCTTGATATAGTCTCTTGATATAATCCAGCTTTGGCATCCACGTTGTCTGGTACCTCTTATAGTTGATGAAGTGGTACAGGCGCCAGGCCCTTTGGAGGGGCCTCCAGGCTTCGGAGGCAGGAAGAAGGCGGAGATTTGGCCGCCAGGCTGTGGTCTGAGGGGCAGGTTCCTTCAGGCTGTCTAATCTGGTTCTCCCCAATCAGGACAGACACATGCTATTACTTAGAAGTAACTTAGTAGAAGCGGAAAAAGGCAAACTATGTGCTAGGTTGCTTCTTTTCTATGAATGGGTCATTTCTGAGAAGTCCATCAGCTTCATGCGTACTTTCTCTCTCTCTCTCTCTCTCTCTCTCTCTCTCTCTCTCTCTCTCCCCCCCCCCCCCCTTTTTTTTTTTGAGGGGGGCAGGTGGCCACTTTATTGTGCTAATTGGAAAGTGATGATTCTGGCGGTTTCAAGGTAAAATGACTTCCATTGTCTATAAGCTCCTGCAGCTTGTGACCCGTTTTTACAGTTTTATCCTTTGTAAGGACAGAAATGGGGGGGAGGGCGTGCGGTTTGTTTCCGTTTTAGAGCTAGGCTTCATTGCTTTCTCCTGCCGACCTCGGGGATACTGACTCACATGTTCTGCTCGGTTCTGTGATCCTGTCTGACTCGCTGTTTATAATTTGTGAGTGGTAATTATTTTGTTCAAAAAGGATCATTTAGCCTCTAGATGTTGAGAACACCAAATGCCGGCATCCTAGATATAAGTACATTGCAAACTGATGTTGGGCTGGAAGGTGAATTTTAAAATCAGTCAGGCCCAGGTTCAGTGGCTCAGTGGTGGGTCACAGTTTGATTGCTGGTCAGGTTGTGGGCTTGACCCCCCATTGTGCAGGAAGCACCCGATCAATGATTCTATCTCATCATTGATGTTCCTATCGTTCCCTCTTATTTCCTCTCTGGAAAAAAAAAAAAAATAGTCAAGAATAGTTTAAGAAAACACCTAAGTACATACACTGAGTGACCATATTACTCTGATCTCTGAATGCATAATTATCTGGCCACTCAGTGTATATCCTGTATAATAAAAGGCTAATATGCAAATTGTCCCCTTGACCAGGAGTTCGACCAGTAGGCAGGCGAGCCAACCGTCCATGTCCCCTCCCTCTGGCCAGGCTAGCTAGAGCCCACCCATGCATGAATTCATGCACTAGGCCTCTTCTAATGTATATATGAAGTGGCCAGATTATTATGCATTCAGAGATCAGAATAATCTGCCCACTCAGTGTATGTATGCCTAAAAACAGTATTGTGAATGATTTATTTTTATTTTAAAAAAATATATTTTATTGATTTTTTACAGAGAGGAGGAGAGAGAGATAGAGAGCTAGAAACGTCGATGAGAGAGAAACATCGACCAGCTGCCTGTTGCACACCCCCTACCGGGGATGTGCCCGCAACCAACGTACATGCCCTTGACCAGAATCGAACCTGGGACCTTTCAGTCCGCAGACCGACGGACACTCTACCACTGAGCCAAACCGGTTTCGGTGATTTATTTGTTTTTTAACACAAAAGGAATTCCCAGAAAGACCCATTCAAAATCTAGGTAACATTTTGACTTGCAGGTGTTTTCCAAGAGCTTATCGGCCGCTCTTGGGAAGGTCACAGTGTGCTCACTTATTTTTTTCCTGGCGTTTAACCACTCAGTAGGGGGGGTGTAGAAGGGCCTTCTGAGTTGGTTACTCTTCTGTCTGAGGCGCTGAGTAACCTGACCCGGGAGTTGTTTTGGCAATGTCAATGCCACAGGCTGTGTGCTGTGGGCAACTGCGGTCCCTATGGCTCCTTTTGCTCCGTGGCCCACACCCTCTGTGGCCTCTAACCACTGAGAAGGGACTGGGAAGAGGTGAGCCCTCGTCTTCCCTACGGTGTGAAATTCTCTGGGTGAAGACTTTGTGATGGGAGGGTGGCATTCGGTTAATCCAGTCTTGGCCTCTGGACAAATGCCAGACCAGGATCAAGCATCACTTACATCGCACCCATGATCTAAACCTCTCATCTAGGTCAGAGTCCACAGTTCCCTCCCGCTAGTCTCAAAGGGGAACAGGCAGGAAAATACGGATGGCTCGATGCAGCCTGTCAGCGCTACTCTAAAGACACCCCAAGAACAAGCGTGCCCCATCTGGGAAGGGCAGCCAGTAAGCTACCCTGCCCCAGTCCAGTAGCCTTCAGTGAAGGCTGTCCAAAGGGGGTGCTTTCCATTGTGAGAAGATAAGAGCGATTGTGAAGACCTTAATTTGCTTGCCCTTTTTCTCAGATGAACTGATCGCCTACGAGTTGACGAGAAGGGAAGCAGAAGCAAACAGAAGACCCCTTCCTGAACTGGTGCGTGCCAAGATACCATTTAGTGCCTGCCTGCAGGCCTTTTCTGAACCAGAGAACGTGGATGATTTCTGGAGCAGCGCCCTCCAGGCAAAGTCTGCGGGTGTGAAGTAAGTGTGTGTGTGTGTGTGTGTGTGTGTGTGTGTGTGTGTACATGCCCGCGTGCACATGTGCGTGCTTCTTGGGTGGTGGTGAGTAGGGAGGCAGCCTTGAGCGGTGGGAACAGAGATAAGGGAGAGGGGTAGGGTATTGTATGAGTCTGCACATGCTTGCTCCTGTGTGCTGAGATAGGATTATGATTCAGGCAACCTTGGGTGTTATACACCTCACTTGTGAGACCTGTCCAATAAAACAGGTATACGCTCTATACATTATGTGCCAGGGACAGAATGCTTTCTTTTTTGAAAAGCAAGGTTGTGGTTTATCCTCTATTAAGAATTTGCTCTTTTTGTTTTTGTTTTTGGCCAAGAATGTGTAGCCAAGAACCTTCTCCCCCATGACAAGAGTGATATGAATGAAACTGCAAAGATACTTATGACTGTCTCTAAAGTTTAAACTCCACTTTGATAGATTTTAATCCATAATTAAATATTTGGCTTAAACTTGGTTGACTGTGTTTCTACCTGGAGGCCAGGGGTCTCGGGGCCCCTCAAAGTGGCTATAGAGACGGCTGAGTGCGTTCAGATGAGCCGTTCCAGACTTAGGCAGGAGATGTTGTAGGTCCACATTGTCAGCCTGTCAGCTACATCAACATTTCTTTCTTCAGTTGACACCTTAGTCAATTTTATACAGTGAAGCCCTTGCTGACACACTTTATATAATTGGAAAAAGCGCACTTACAGTGGCAAAAATGAGAGGAAATCTGAAAGTCTGGCTCTGGAGTTCCCCTACTTTTAGATTTTCTTTGGCCATTTTTATTCTAGGCTATGTTTGAGCTCTAGTTGATGGAAAGGGGAGTGGAACATGGAAGAGCTGCTGCTGGCTGTTTTTATCTCCACCTCAAGTAGCAGACAAACTTCAGTCACTGTGTATTCTCCGTGACAGCCACCTCTCAGGATTTCTGTTTTAGATGATTGACCTCATATAACAAAACTGGGAAAACAGAAAGAATTTATTTCAAAAGCTAAAAAGGGCCATATTTAAAAAAATAATTTAAAAAGGGGTCTTCATATCCAAAAGAGGATTAATAATAGTTCACTCAGTTATCTATTATCCATTGCAGCATAAGTTTTTGTCCTAGGATCACTGTTCTGGTGTATGTGTGTGTGTGTGTGTGTGTGTGTGTGTGTGTGTGTATGGCCGTACACCTGTCCTTGCAGATAATAGTAGGTATGTCAAACATCGGTATTCTCTGCATTGCAACTTGGAGACAGCTTTGGGGCAGTTAGCTATCTATACATAACAGCAGTGTAGAAACAATTTCTTTATTTCTTTCCCCCCAGCTTTACTGATATATAATGGACATATCATATTGTGTAAGTTTAAGGTGTACAACACGTTGACTTGATTATTATTATTATTTTTTTTACTTTAAGTATTGACAAAAGGCGGAAGATTCCTCACACAGTTACCCATTATTCTTTGTGCGTTAATTCTGACTCTTTGTGAGAGGTGGACATGATCCAGGGCCTGGCAGCCCAGGAAGCCCTCAGTTCCAGTGTGAGCTGCGAGCATTCTTCAGAAATGTGGATTCGAGTCTTAAAGCACAGGGTGTGACGTACTCCTTGGGCCTGTAGGAAGGAGACCCTGAGCACTTGGAAAAGGCTCTTGGGCGTGGATGGCATTAGCTTTCTACAGACGTGGAGCCTCTGGCTTCTGGGCTAGTCATTACTTCCCAGCTAAGATTCTACTCTAGGGCAAAGTCACCGCCAGTGTCCTTCTCCCACCTCCAATGGAGGAATGGTGCTTGCAGACCTGATTTTCTCTTCAATGCTACTAAGACTTCATTGTAGGCCAAGCATGTCAAACTTGTGGGCCACAGGCCGCTGCCTCATTTATTTGGCCTGTGTTAGCCTTTGAGTTTGACATGCTTGTTGTAGGCAGTGCTAACATCACTATCTAGAAACCCCGAGGAGGGTGTCTGCTTGCTCTAGTCCTATCTAGTCCATCTTTTACATATACACATACTCTTATATACACGAAAACAATACTGGATGTATTACAATTGTTAATAATTGAAAACTGGTCTTTGTGGGGCAGGAGAAAACAGTGCTGTAGGGTAATAAAGCAACTATCTTTTTTATTGCATATTAATTATTCCAGGTCATCTGTTAAGCTCTTCCCATCAATTATATTTAGTCTTTTTAGTACTATTGTGAGGTAGGTACCATTATTCTCATTTTACAGATGAAGAAATAAGAGGAGAAGTAATTGGCCAGTAAGTAGCAGACTCGGGACTCATTCAGGTTGATTGAGTTCAAAGTTTAAACCCCTAATTTTCCCTGGTTATATAATACTAGAGGCCTGGTATTCATGCAGGGGAGGGGCCCCTCATCCCGGCTTGCACTTTCTCACAATCTGGGACCCCTGGGGGATGTCCGACTGCTGGTTTAGCCCCAATCCTGCAGGATGAGGCATAAACTGGCAGTTGGAAATGCCTCTTGCAATTCGGGACCACTGGCTCCTAACCACTCTCCTGCCTGCCTGCCTGATCACCCCTAACCACTCTGCCTGCCTGCCTGATCACTCCTAACTGCTTGCATGGCTGCATGATTGCCCCTAACTGCTTCTGCCTGCCTGCCTGATCTTCCCTAACCACTTGCCTGCCTGCCTGCCTGATCACCCCTAATTGCCTGATCACCCCTAATCACTCTGCCTGCCTCACTAATTGCCCCTAACTGCTCTCCTGTCTGCCTGATTGCTTCTAACCACCTCTGCCTTGGCCCCTGCCACAGCAGTTTCATCCGGAAGGATGTCTGGAAGGTCGTTCGATTGTCCAGTCTAATTAGCATAGTATCCTTTTATTATCATAGTGCCCATCTCTCTCATCATGCTTGCTTATACATATAGCCTTAAGATCTTTAAGTAGCCTTGCTTCTTTCTTATTATGCTTTTTCATGTTTCCAGTATTAGTTTTGGGGAAACCAATTCAGTGGATTTCTAAAAGATCTTTTTAAGATCTTGCCCCCCATCCCCCAGCAATATAGGCTATAACTCAGCACTCTCTTTATTATGTCAACCTGGGGCCTTGAACTTTTCTGTTAGATTCAGAGTCTGAAAGTCCAGGAAGAGGCAAATGACGTCTGAAGGATCTTGGTAGATCGTGAATCAGTATGGACCAGATATAAACCCTTCCCTTAAATGGTTCTGAACAGACAGTGTTGGGAAGAATATTAGTGTTTGAAATTTCATTCACTCAGCAAATACTGTCACTCACCTAGTGTGTTCTAGGAAATGAGTTGAATAAGACTTAGCCCTTAAGAAACTCACAGATTAGGGTTCATAGGGAGCGTTTTTGCTTGAATTTTATCATTTATGAAGAGACAGGCATGCTTTGGGGCTGCAAGAAAGACACAAACTTTAGGTGGACAGGTGGCAGTGAATCCTCAGTGTTGAATATATGGCATGTGACTTTGGCCAAGTGACCTAACTCACTTCCTCAAATCTCTGTTTCCTTATCTGTGAACTGAGGATAATAATAGTGCTTTCCTTACAGGGTTAAGAGAGGGTTAAGGTGAAATAAGCCACATAAGGTGCTTTGTGCAGTGCCTGGCCCACAGTAAATATATGCTGTAATCATCATTACAGTTCCTTTTATCTTTCCCTTTTATTTTTGCCTTAAATTATACAAATTGAGAGTGGTTGAATAATAATCATATTTAATGGAAAGGATTGAATTGTTTTTGCTCTTTTTAGTTGTCAGGTTTTTAGTATAGTAAACAATCCTAATTTGGGGAGAGGGGACAGCTTTTATTTTCTTAACAAGGTTTACATAACATTTTTGCCTTAATTGTAATTAATGAACAATTGATATATATTTTTGTGTGATTTCAGAGAGGAATGGAGAGAGAGAGAGAGAGAGAGAGACAGAGAGAGAGAGAGAGATCAATGATGAGAATCATTGATCAGCTGCCTCCTGCATGCCCCACACTGGCGATCAAGCCTGCAACCCGGGCATGTGCCCTGACTGGGAATTGGTCCATGACCTTCTGGTTCATAGATTGACGCTCAACCACTGAGCCATGCCGACTGTCAATAATTGATTTATTTAAATAATGATAATAGGTTGTCAATAGACAACAGTAACGAGGTTAGACACTGTTCTGAGCATTTTATATGTCTTAGCTCATTTTATTTTCTTATATATATTTAACAATTACTACATGTGTGATTCAACTTGAGACTTATGGAGCTTACAAAGGTGAATAAAAAATATTTACCCAACAGGGCAAATATAATGTGGACATCATCTAACTTCTTTCTGGTACTCAAGAAAGGACACAAGAACGTTAAATTATGCTCTGATCCCCTAACCCTGTCCCCTGTCCATGGTAATTCTTACCAGCTGACACGCACCACAGAGCAACTACAAGAGCCTGGGGGCTCCTCAACCACATTTCAGAAATTGTTGATTTATTGATGAGTTTTGCTTGATTTCACTGTAATATATTTTTCAGATTGGAAGCCAATGTGGTAAGAGAAGGAGGCCTGAGAAGTTACATTTTTACATTAGTTGAACATATCAGATGGAGTTCTTATTTTTTGGTGCGATTGAGGACTTGGCTATAATTAAGAATGGTGTTTATTACTGCCTCTCAGAAATAGGAAAACTTAATTAGAGATAATATGTAATTTCTGGAGAGTGAGCCAGAGTCATAATAGATCCATTCCTTAGGATAGTTAAGCTCCAGTTTTGTTTAATTTAATTTAATTTAATTTTTATTGATTTTTTACAGAGAGGAAGGGAGAGAGATAGAGAGCTAGAAACGTCGATGAGAGAGAAACATCAGCTGCCTCTTGCACACCCCCTACCCGGGATGTGCCCGCAACCAATGTACATGCCCTTGACCGGAATCGAACCTGGGACCTATCAGTCCGCAGACCGATGCTCTACCACTGAGCCAAACCGGCTTCGGCTTGTTTTATTTTTTTAAGAGCTTCCTTATGTTATTTCTTGGTCCCCTCTGCCATAACTGTGATGAAGAATTTGAGATAAAGAGCGGTGACATTTCATCTCAGGCAAAATATAGGTGAATGGCACATTGAGTCATGTCCAAGGCCTCACGGAATCTAGCTCTTTCATGACAAAATGATCATATTAATTCCTTAGGAATAGATAGTAGTACATTCTGGTTTCACATAATTTTATGAACATTGCACAGTCCTAGCCAGTAGATATTATTAATAAATCCATTTTGTGGATGTGAAAAAAAATGGAGCCTCATGGAGGATCTGTGATTTGCTCAATTTGGAGTGAATTACAGCATATCCAAGACCCACCAGAGTTCAACTCTTTTTGGACAGTGCTCTGTCTCTGTACTGTGACTTCTCTTCTGCACTAGGGGGCAGCAGTGATTTGCATTTGTTTTCTGAATTCTGGGAGAATACAGTCTAGGACCTAGACTCTAGGTAGAAGGCACTGACTGAGATTTGGAAAGTGAAATTTCCAGACAAGCTTTTGTAGAATTTTTTATTTTAGATATGGTATCTGTCTACAGCTAGTTTTATTTTTTACATATACCTACCACATTCACATTGACACTGAAATACACTTGAGTGGCCAGCTTATTCTGATCTCTGAATGCATAATAATCTGGCCACTCAGTGTGTGTGTGTGTGTGTGTGTGTGTGTGTGTGTGTGTGTATTAGAGGCCTGGTGCATGAATCCATGCCTGGGTGAGGTCCGGCCAACCTGGCCAAGGGGAGGGAACATCGGCAGTTGGCCGGCCTGCCTGCTCGACCTACCTATCTGGTTGAGGGGACAATTTGCATATTAGCCTTTTATTATATAGGATATACACTGAGTGACCAGATTATTATGCGCTCAAAGATCAGAATAATCTGGCCACTCAGTGTAGAAATGATTGTTATAACTAAGATGATAAATATTGAGAGAATGAGCTGGAACAAGGGTATGAATTAGGTGTACACGTTGAATAGTCTGTGCTTAAAGTTGCCAAAGTCAATTCCAGGCAATTCAGCCTTTCTTACCCGTAATATATATACCTTTAGAATCCGTGTGACCTTCGATTAGGTGCAGTAGTATGTTAATGAGGCCCTGGCATTTCCAACAGTCAACCTCAACAAAAGCTCCAAAGACCTCTCCTATGCCAATGTTGTGCTGTAAGATAGCGATTCTCGGTGGGAGCAGAGGCGGGAGTGTGTCCAGCTTGCTTGGGGAGCTTGTACAAACCCCATATACAGACACAGAATACAAAAGGTAAATGAGTTAAAAAGTACAAGTTGGTAGTTACAAAACAGTCACGGGGTTGTAAGATACAGCACAGGGCATATAGACATTAATATTGTAATAACTTTGTCTGGTGCCAGGTGGGTCCTTGAAGTATTAGGGGAACACTTTGTAAAATAGTGATTATCTAACCATTCTGCTGTACACCTGAAACTAATGCAAAATAATACTGAACACAATGCATTCATGTCCTCACACACCTACAAATGTATATGCTAAATTGCATCCAGGGTTTTAGAGAAAACTGGTTGAAGAGCACTTTTCAGAAATATAAAAGAGCACTTTTACAGCAAAGTAAAAGTAATAATTTGGCAATGGGTCCAAAGTCATTCTCAAAGGACAGCATTCTTGCATGTTCATAAGAAGGCCAGGATGAATGAGCAGGAGTGGCTGAGTGCGTGCGCTCACGTCTGTCTGCTGTTTCTGCACTCGGCCCAGGCGCGGACTGCAGGTGTGCCTCAGACAAAGGTGATGCTTCATGAACTGTGCTCACAATTCTGACTGCTTGTTTCACTGATACAATCCCCTTGTGTTTCCCAGAACATCTCGCTTTGCCTCATTCCCTGAATACTTGGTAGTGCAGATAAAGAAGTTCACTTTTGGTCTTGACTGGGTTCCCAAAAAATTTGGTAGGTATCTTGTGCATGCTTTTGCTTAAAACATCAAATTACCCATTTGAAAAACATGGCATGTGAAAGAGCCGGAAAGTTCCATTTAATTCTCTTCCCATCATTTCCACCTTTCTCTTTTGAATTAGAGTATATAAGCACTGATGATAAAATTAGCACCCCTGGAATAATAGGGTCTGGCATGAGTGAAAACTGGACCCCCACATAATCAATAAATAATGCTTCCCAAACGTTGCAGTGCAAACAGACTGCCATCTTGGTAAATACAGATGCTGATTCAGCAAGTCTGGAGTGGGGTTTGGGATTCATAATTCTTTTTAAAAAATATATATTTCATTGATTTCAGAGAGGAAGGGAGAGGGAGAGAGAGATAGAAACATCAATGATGAGAGAGAATCATTGATCGACTACCTCCTGCATGCCCCGCACTGGGGACCGAGCCTACAACCCAAGCATGTGCCCTGGACCAGAATCGAACCTAGGACCCTTCAGTTCGTAGGCCAATGCTCTATCCACTGAGCCAAATCGGCTAGGGCAATTTCTTTTAAAAAAAATAATTAAATACTATGTTTTATTTTTTACTTGTATTTATTATTATTTTTTATTGAATTTATTGGGGTGACATCGGTTAATGAAATTATACAGGTTTCAGGTACATAATTCTATAATACATCGTCTGTATCATGTATTATGTGTTCACCACGCCAAGTCAAGCCTCCTTCGTGGCCTAGAAGGAGGTCCAGTTTTATCCTCTTTGTTTTTTTCAAGCCAGTGCCTCAGACTGTTTGCCAGCTTTTTAAACTTTTTGTTTTATTAGAGCACTTAAAAAAAAAAAAAACCCACTCAGGCTTTACATTGGTTAAGTAAGCACTCATCTGCTCGTCTGAAGGGAATGGGTAAAAATAATGGGAAACCGGCTGGAGTGGTTTCCCAGAACTCTCCCGCCCTACCAGCTTGCATAGCACCTGTTTGATGTTATGCTGGCTGTGACCGATTCTCTGGCAGATTTTGACTCTTCCTGTGGAATGGTTTTGTGGGCAAGGAGAAGGGCAGAGGGCAGGATGCTCATCACATAGCCTTTTCTCCGTGGATCTAAGTACCTGGGAAAACACTGACTTTGCACTGCTTTGCACTGCTTTGGACACAGTGTTCTTATTTTTCTTTGTTCTTGGAGTTCCTAGAAAGGAACAAAAATCCAGATAAGATTTCATAGGCTTGCCGAATTTAAAGGAGCTCCAAAGCTTTCTTTAACGAACCTGAATTTTTCTGCTGAGGAACAGTTGTATTGATTTTGTAGGTCAAACATTATGTTTGTTGTTGTGGTTCTCTAAGATGACAAACTTTTTTTAAAACTAAGCTTTTTCTTCGGGTGGTTATTTTGAAGTGGGATTGATACACCTGGCATTATAACGGGATTGGGGGGATCCTATGTTCAGGTTCTGTTTGCTTCCCGAAGACACACACCCTACAACATTTGAGCCCATTTATTATTATATCTGAATATCTGCAATACTAAATCTCAACAGGATATTAGACTGATACATTTTGTATGTTAGTCAACACAAGAACAATCAAACTGAGAAGCTAAAAAATGTACCCAGGACTTGAGATTCAACTCATTTCTTTAAAACTTCATTTTTTATTTATTATTTTAGTTAAATCACATTACTCATCATGATCTGAGAAAAGGCATAGACTTTTACAAACTCACATGTGTAATGAGGACAGGGTGATAACGTAAATTAAAGAAATGGGATGGGTATAAGAGACAGGTAGCTAGCTATCTTGGTCTTTCTTTGGGATTCCACTTTGAATTAGAAAAACATTTTTTCTACTGTAAGAATCAGAACAGCACAGATATGAGGCTCAGGATCATGGGGGCGATAGGAAGTGGTGAGGTCTGTGACAAACTATCAGAGAGGGCACCCCTATGAGAAGGTGCTAGAGATTTGTTTTCAAAATAAGGTGAAAATCTACATTTCTACATTAAAATCTTGGATTTAAGAGTTGGATTTTTTTTTTTTTTTCCCCTTCTGAAAACCAATTTTAAAAACATCACACAGAAAGCTTCTGGGCTACAAATGGTCTACGGGTGTCGGTGTGTGACCCCTGGCTTATCCCATTTGTTCTTGTTCAGTGTGAAATCCGGCCACCCTCTGCACTTGCCCCTGGTTCTCCACTAAAATTGAATCAGTCTTGATGAGTCTGCTGGCCCCGTGATTACTCTGGGGAACCGCAAAGCTTCCCTTAGCTCTGCCTAGACGCATGCATATAGAGTCAGTGGTGCTGATTGTAGGAGGTGATTGCGAGATTTTGGAGAATCCAGAGTATGTAATCGTTCTCATTTTGCAGATGTTTCTATTGATATGCCAGACCTACTTGATATCAACCACCTCCGAGCCAGGGGGTTACAGCCAGGAGAGGAGGAACTTCCGGACATCAGCCCTCCCATCGTCATTCCTGATGACTCAAAAGGTATCATCTTCAGGAGGACATTCTCTACCCGTCCTGCTACCTGAGTCTGCTGGAATGGTCACTTTTCTCCCTCCACTCTGCTGTCCCTTGGCTGCCTTTCTCTGATGTAACCCACCATAGGCACACAGAAGTGAGGCCTGGAGGCAACCGTCAACTTAAAATAGATATGGGGCCGAGACTGGTTTGGCTCAATGGCTAGAGCGTCGGCTTAGGGACTGAAGGGTCCTGGGTTCGATTCCGGTCAAGGGCATGTACCTTGGTTGTGGGCATATCCCCAGTGGGGGGTGTGCAAGAGGCAGCTGATCGATGACTCTCTCTCATCGATGTTTCTAACTCTCTCTCTCCCTTCCTCTCTGTACAAAATCAATAAAATATATTAAAAAAATAAATAAATAAAATAGATATGGGAAGAGGCACAGACCCATCACAAGTAGTTGAAAGGGACCTGTGGCAACAGAGGGCCACCAAGCTCCAGGAAGTTTTTATTTATTTTTATTTTATTTAAAAAATATATATATTTTATTAATTTTTTACAGAGAGGAAGGGAGAGGGATAGAGAGCCAGAAACATCGATCAGCTGCTTCTGCACACCCCCTATTGATTGGGGATGTGCCTGCAACCAAGGTACATGCCCTTGACCGGAATTGAACTCTGGACCTTTCAGTCCACAGGCCAACGCTCTATCCACTGAGCCAAACAGGTTTCAGCTCCAGGAAGTTTTTAGATTATGTTGCCTGTGGCTTTACCTTCGTCTCTCCACTTCTCCAAATGGATGTGTAGATGAAAAAGAAGGTGTTTTCAGTAGTCTAAGGGAGCTGTATCATTCTCAGAATATCTTTGGACAACGGGAAGGGGACGTTCAGCCGTATGTGTTGGTTTTAAACATCTGGCCCACATCTCACCTTCCCAGCTTCCTCACTGCTTCATAGCAAGAGAGTGGTTTGAGTTTCTCTTTCACTCTGTGAATGATAAGTCATTCATTGTTCATAATGCTTCACTTTGGAAGGGAAAAGGATGTGCAAAAAAATAGCTGCCTCACCTTTGTGGTTCCAAGGACAGCTGAAAAATCTTGGTTCCATGATTAGCTCATTTATTCTGATGAAACTGGTTTCATTCTGGCTTTGTTTGCTCACCTGTTTACTGTTCACCTTCTTAAAGAGTTGATTAAGTGGAATAACTCATAGTGATAGAGGACTGTAGGCCCCTCTAACAAAGGCCTTTCATCAGATGAGCAGCGAATGTTATTAGTGACCTAATTTGAGTGCACAAGGAGGATAAGGTGAATCTAAGAGGAGCAAGACAGGATTCCAGATCAGCATCTTGTCCCATAGTTCCCTAACGCTAATCAAATGTGAGAGCACAGAGTGTGGAGAAACCTGTACATGGAACATTCTAACATTCTGGGTTATGGGTACAGATGATTCTTGAAAGGAATTCAAGAAAGAAGAGATCAGTATGAAAATTACTGAAGGACAAGATGGCTTATTAGCATGGCTCCTGCTTTCTCTGAGGCTTTTTTTTAAAAATATATTTTATGAGTTTTTACAGAGAGGATGAGAGAGGGATAGAAAGCTAGAAACATTGATGAGAGAGAATCATTGATCAGCTGTCTTTTGCACACCCCCTACCGGGGATGTGCCTGCAACCAAGGTACATGCCCTTGACCGGAATCGAACCCGGGACCTCTCTGAGGCTCTTAATAGAATCATCAGCTTGTAATTACAAAGAGTTTTTAGAAATGTAGGGAGAGAACTGATTTAGTTCATTACGATGATAACCAGAGCACCATGTTTTATCTGCTCTAAATGTATTTCCCCTCCTCACTTTCATCACTCTATGTTGGTCAGGTGAGGGTGGTCTTTCTCTAAAACACTTTGCCATGGTTTGGTCTCATTTTCTTCCCTCTTCCTTAATTTCCAGATCGCCTGATGAACCAACTGATAGACCGTATGTATCTTTTGAAAAATTTCCTAGTGTCTTACCGTGGTTGTTGGCCTGACACATTTATCTGTGGGGATTGAGTAGAGGGCATTGTTCTGTTCGGGTGTATATGTAGCTTTTCCTCAGTGGAAATGATCCTTTGTCTGCAAGTTGAGGTAACTGATGTAAACCAGTGACGGTGGTTAGATGTCCCTGTAGCTCACGAGAGTGACCATTAGCATGAGAGCGAACCAGCCCTGGGTTGGAAAATTGGGCTCTGCCATTCATGACTGTGTGACCTAGAATCATTTACTTAACTTCTCTGAGCCTATTTCCTCATGAATGAATGGGAGCCATTTCTTTCTCCTCTGGCCACATGAGGAGGCCTCTTCTTGCAATGAGAGGACAGTAGTCCTTCACTTTTTTTTGCTCCTGATGCTGCATAACGAAGACACACATCTGGCAGGATATGGTAGTATTAATACTCTCAAGGCTGTTAGTGTCATTTGGATTGTAGGCTAATTTTATAGCCTTTTTATTTCCTTTAGTCCTGTGGGAGTTGATATTCTTGGTTTTCTAAAAAGGAAAAGAAAAATACACTATTTATACTAAATATTTAGATAATAATTAGGGGAAAGCGGGAATGTTTAGCACTAAATACACTGAATATTTTTGTCTACAAAGCCTTTCTGGAGATGAACTATGGTTAACACTTGTGCTCTCCATTTCCCAGAGTTGATTACTTCCTTTGATTGCTGATATAGCTAAAGGCCTGCTGTAGCTTCCGGTGAGATTTAAGGAACAGCCCTTTTGACCTGTAGATAATGCTTTTCTCTTCCAATTTCAGTCCTAGGAGAGGCTCCTATAGAGGTCTTGAGCATGATCTGAGACTGACATGGTTCTGGGAATACACTAAATCTCCCCATACAAAATTAGAGAATTATTTTTCAGTGCTTGGATAGACCAGGTGATTATCATGATTCCTATTGAGGACAAGGCTTTAGGTCAACTCAACTCAAATAGCTTAATATTTGGATGGCTTTAATACAAATAGAACAAAGTTAAACCACCATTTGCACACCTAACAAAATAGCACTTTCTTTGGATAGCAGGTGGATAAAGGGTTGAAGAGATGCGAAGACAGGAAGGTAGTTTATCTTTTCACACTAGAATGTCCTGCTGTGCTCTGTAGCCTCAGACATCGATGAGTCATCGGTGATGCAGCTGGCTGAGATGGGCTTCCCGCTAGAAGCGTGTCGGAAGGCTGTGTACTTTACTGGAAATATGGGAGCCGAGGTGGCCTTCAACTGGATCATTGTTCACATGGAGGAGCCAGGTAGGTGGTCGGAAATGGAATGGCTTTTGAGTCTGATGCAGAACTCAGTGATGCTAACTAAGCCTTGGAAGGATCTTTCTTGGTCCTTCCATACCTTCCAGACCTGTTCCCCGAATGACTTTCCAGTTCACAGTCTGCTGCAGTGTGTGTGTGTGTGTGTGGGCTGCCTTTGCCAGTGGAGCAAAGTCACAGTGTTGGTCTTTCCTCTTATTTTTAAGTGACAGCTTGGTTGAAATATAATTCAGACCAGTGGAAAGATGTTGGATATACTTCTACCAAGGAGAGGATGAAGACTTGAAATAGACCAATGTGCATGAAGACATAGGACCTGTTTAGCTTTTACTTTTATCTACTTTATGATGATAATTCACTCATTTAAAGTGTATATTTCAATGGTTTTTTTAGTAAACTTATAGAGTTGTACAACTATCACCACTACCTAACTTTTAGAATATTTTTTCCCCCTGGAAAGAAATCCTGTACACTTTAGCAGTCACTTTCCATTCCCCCGCTCTTCCTAGCCTTTGACAACCACTAGTCAGTTTCCTAGACTTGCCTATTTTGGACATCTTATACAAATAGAAACATACAATAGAAGATTTTTTTGTGTATAGTTTCCCTCACTTAGCATAAGGCTTTTAAGGTTCATTTATGTTATAGCATATGTCAGTATTTCATTTCTTCTTATGAGTGAATAATATTTTACTGTATGGACATACTGAATTTTATTTATCCTTTTACTAGTGGCCTCATGTATGAAACTCATGCAAGTATAGGCCTTCCTCCCCCCAGCTGCTGGCACCAGCTTCCCTCCGGCACCCGGGACCCAGGCTTCCCTCACAGCCTGGCTTCGTCTGGAAGGTTGTCCTGGAGGATGTCCAATCTAATTAGCATATTACACTTTTATTATTATAGATCAGTTGATGGCTACTTGGGTTGTTTCCACTTTTTGGCTACTGTGAATAATGTGGCTATAACTATTTTGTGTATACATTTTTGTGTGGACATGTTTTCATTTCTCTTGAGTGGAGTTGCTGTGTCATATGGTGACTCGATATGTTTAACTTTTTGAGGAACTGCAAAATTGTTTTCAACAGTGGCTGCACCATTTTACATCCCACCAGCAATGTATGAAGGTTTAGTTTCTCCATATCCTCACCAACCTTGTTATTACTGTTTTTATTGTAGCTATTTCAGTGGATGCGAAGTGGTGTCTCATTATAGTTTTGATTTGCATTTTCCTAACGACTGATGATGTAGAGCATCTTTTCATATTATTGGTCATTTATATATCTTTGGAGAAATGTCTATTCATATCCTACGCCCATTTTTAATGAGGTTACTTGTCTTTTTATTGTTGAGTTCTGAGGGTTCTTCTTGTACTCTGAATACAAGTACCTTAGATATATGACTTGGAAATATTTTCTCCCATTCTGTGGGTTGTCTTCTCACGCTCTTAATGGTATCTTTATAAACAAAAGTTTTTAAGTTTGCTGAGGTATAATTTATCTAGTTTTTTTCTTTTGTCACTTGTGATTTTGGTGTTTATCTAAGAAACCATTGCCTACCCCAATGTCACAAAGATTTACTCATATGTTTTCTTCTACGAGTTTTGTAGTTTTAGCTCTTACACTTAGGTCAGTGATCCACCTTGAGTTAATTTCTGTATAAGGTGTGAGGCAGAGTTCTACCTTCATTCTTTTGCCTGTGAATATGAAATTCTCTGAGCAGCATTTGTTGAGAAGACTGTCCTAACCCCATTCAATGGTCTTGGTAGCCTTCTTGGGGATCATTTGACCATGGATTTGTGGGCTTATTTCGGGACTCAATTCTGTTCGCTTGATCTATATGTTTATCTTTATGCGAGTACTGTCTTGATTATTGTAACTTTACAGGTATTCTTCCTTTATTTTAAGATCAAAGAAAGAAAAAGTTCTGAGCATGATTATTTTCCCAGATTTTGCTGAACCATTGACCATGCCTGGTTACGGAGGAGCAGCCTCCGCTGGAGCCTCTGTTTTTGGTGCTACTGGGTTGGATAACCAGCCTCCAGAGGAGACTGTGTCTATCATCACCTCCATGGGATTCCATCGAAATCAGGCTATTCAGGCGCTACGAGCAACGGTAAGTGCAAGAGACTGTGTGTTGGATTCTCTTCTTTAATCGGAGTGTTTTGTATTTCATCAGTAGCAATTGAGACTTTCCAATATTCTGTGATCTTTTGAGGTCATGCTTGCCTTACTCTATACACTACAATGATCCACGGAGATTTATTTGCATACAGTATATATAAAGCTCAAATAAATGAATGAGTGAATCATACAGAGAGCTTAAAACTAGGGAGATAAAAAACATAGGGAGATAATATAACGGGCAAAATGATCAAACTGAAAGAAACTCCATTTCATCTTAATGCTTATTAACAGAGGACCAGACATTTGATCTGCAGCTTACTTGCTGCCCTAAAGCGAAGAGGTATGCATGTAATTCTGTGTCCAATAAGGCAGTTCTTTAGGGAAAAAAACATGCTTTTCTGATACTAAGACCTTGGAGAAATGTCCCTGGAAGTCCTCATAGTGAAGACTGAATGGGTCCTTGGAATTTTCTGCTTCTGTTTCTCTCTGCAGAGAGAGAAGGTCCTTCAGGTATTCATGAACCTTCTGATATTGTCAGGAGAGAAGGCACAATGAAGCTAGAGGATAGATACCGTGTTTCCCCGAAAATAAGACATCCTCCGAAAATAAGACCTAGTGCATGGAAAGATAAGACATCCCCTGAAAATAAGACCTAGTGCAACTTTGGGAGAAAAAATTAATATAAGACACTGTCTTATTTTCGGGGAAACGGTTGAAGTTTTCCTTTCGTAGCGCAAATCTCTGTTTAATATTGAGGGAAATTACTTTTTTTTTTTTTTTTTTAAACCCAGCCTTCCTTGCCACAATATGTTCCATTTATGAGTGGTTGTCTGCTACCGATTCCTTCTCAGTGTCCTCACTGGTTGCCTGCTGGTCACCATGATTCTCAACTAGCATTTGTTTCACTCTGGGCACCTGCTTATGTCTTACTCATTTTACTTGCTTGGCTCTTCCACCAGAGATTCTGACTATGTCTAAATACACTCTTTACCTCTCCAGTGATATCACTAATGGGGAGATGGACATATTTTTCTGATCATTTGGTTTGAACTGTACAGAGGTCAGTTTAAACCTATTTAACTTCACTAACCAGTGTGAAGTTATCAAGGTATTAATTTAACGGGCAAGGTATTAATCAAGGTATTAATTTTGTCTCTACTGCAGTTCAACCATTGTGCCAACATTTGGAGAGAGGAAGCATTAATGTAGTATTGCACTGGTATCCTTCTAACTGGCATGGTTATCTGCAGGAAATATAGTAGGCAGAGAATGTAGTGTGTGTAGTTATTGTGGCCTTTGAAAGGGCTGCACCCAAACACGTGCCATACCCCTTTGACATTCTGTACCCCGTCATTATCAGCACCAGCCTGCAGAAACAAAGACTGATATGGGCTTTAGAATGCTGATCTGCTGCTCAGAATTTTTCCCCCAGTGAATCTAGTTACTGATCCCAGTTGGGAGACTTGCAGAATACCAAGCACATTTCCTATGTGGAGTCAGAGCTTCTTACTCAGAAGACACTTAGGACTAATGGGTTCAGGTTTCCTGCCCTCACTGCCTGACATCCTGGCTCACATGGCCAGGATGTAATGAGGCCTGAGGACGGCATACATTGTAAACATGTTTTGCTTTATTAGAACAGTAACCTGGAAAGAGCACTGGATTGGATCTTTAGCCACCCCGAGTTTGAGGAGGACAGTAACTTTGTGACCGAGATGGAGAATAACGCCAATGCAAACATTATTTCCGAGGCCAAGCCTGAAGGACCTCGAGTCAAGGATGGATCCGGAAGTAAGTTCTTTGCCTGAGGGATTGTCTGAGCAATTGTGACTGTGCATTCGGCTCACCCCCTTCCCTCCCACCACACACATTGAAGCGCTTGCCACCGTTCAGAAGTGAGCACAGATCTCACCCTCTCCTAAATGGTACATTTGGTCACATTGCATGGCCGCGGTGATCGGATACGGTCCTGGGCAGACTCAGTCATGCTGCTTGTAGTGCGTGTGCTCACGCTTAGCGCCAGCTTTGACTTTGTCCGTCCTGTGAGATAAAATCTTTTTCATGTACCATGGATGTTTTGTGTCTAAAAGAGGACATTTATTTTCATGTGGTGGTTTTGAAAGTCGAAAAGCAGTCTTATGCCCTTGACCCTGTCATTGCCCCTGAAGGGCTGTCAGGATGGCAGGAAGAGGTGCCATAAGCCAATGTTCTACCTTTGAAGAGCAAACACGTATGTGTGTGACTGTGTGCCAGGCACTGTTCTAAGCTCTTTGCATGTATACAGTCAGTTAATCCTCAACACCCTCGTTTTATAGGGGGGGAAACTGAGGCACAGAAAGATTAGGTATCTTGCCTGAAGTCCCATAGCTCTTAAGAGGTGGAGCCAAGGTTCAAACCCAGAATCCTTGTTCTTTCTCACTGTGATACCCTGCTTCTCAGACTGTCATCGCCTACAGAATAATGTTCAGGCTCTTTAGCCTGGCATGTGTCTCCTCCTCCAGTCAGATGTCAGCCTACCTTCTCTCGGTGTCATTTCTTCTGCCCCTCGCTCCACACACAGTTCAGATGCCTGGCACTGTCGCCACAGCACCAGCCCACCCAGCTGTCATTCACCCTCTTCTCGCTACTTCCAGGCCTTTGCTCAGGCTAATCCTTCACTGTGAAATGCCTTCTTTCCTATCACTGCACACCAAAATCCTTACTGTGATCCAAAACGTGGCCACAGGTTCTCTTTCTCTTGTTGGCTTTCCCAGGTCCTTGCCAGCCAGTCCATCCTTACCCCATGTGCTCGTAATAATTATACCAATATTAACAACTAGCATTTGTGCCACCCCTAATCCTCACAATAATCCTACAAGGTAGGTTTTACAGATGAAGAAATTGAGTAGAGAGGGTTAATTGCCAAGGGCACAACTTAGTGATGGGTAGAACCAGAATTCCAACCCAGGCAGTCTGCCTCTGGAGCCTGTGCCCAGAGCCACTCTAACATGGTGTTTGTTCCTTTGTTATTAGAGATATTCATCTTGCAATAAAATTGTTTATGTCAACATCTGTGTCTCCCATTTGACCGGAAGCTGTGAAGCACAGAGATCATTTTTACTTTTATAAAGCTCACGGTGGCTAGCACATAGAAAGTACCAAATAAAAATAATTGGATTTAGTTCAATTACACTAGTAGTGTTCACTCCTATTCCCATAGAGCTGTAGCTCTACTTATTAATGGTCTTATCAGACATAATATGTATGTATTGATCTAGCTCTAGAGAGAGAAGATGAGAGAGAAATCTTCTTTTATAGAAAATGGGAATTTCTTTATTAAAATTGCTTTATCCTCTCTAAGTAAGAAAAGGAGAACTTCTATAATCAAAGGATCTTGTATTGCTTTTTAGAAACCAGTGGTTTGCCTAAATTATTAAAATCTGTAACAGACAAGTCGCCAATAATTCATGGACAGGATTTATTACTTCTTACATGTCCATCGGCTCACTGCTTCCTTGACTTTCTGCAATGGACTTGGATGAGTCCTTCTCACAGAAGGAATAAACCACAAGATGGAGCCATCGTAAAGCTGCCAAGATATCTGGCTGCAGAGGGAGGGAGAGTCTGATCATTAAGGTTTTCTGTCTTCTGATGGAGGGAACCCAACCATTGTCCCCAAGACAGGCCCTACTGATCTGAACAGTGTCATCCTCTCCTTGGGCTTACTGCGCTCAGAGGGATCTGCATTGATCCCTGGCACTGCTGGTTTGGAGTTGCATCTTTAAATAGGATGTCATGATGCGATGCTTTCAAGCACCTTAATTTAAAGGTACTATGGGCCAAACTCTGTGACTTTGCTCCTCTTCGCCCCCAAAAGCAATTGCACTTGTGAGTGGGGGTGGGGAAAGAGACAGAGAGGCACTATGAGAAGTCACATGGAGGATGTACAGAACCTCAGGGCAGTAGTAATGAAAATTTTAATTATGAAAAACCAGCAAGCATAAACCACCCTGATTCAGCAAATGCATTTTGCCTCTGAACAGATGTTTCTATTTACTTACTTTTGAATTAACTGTATTGGGGTGACGTTGGCTAATAGGATTATTTAGGTTTCAAATGCACATTTCTACGATACATGATCTGTATATTGCATTGTGTGTACCTTCCCCTCACCCCAAAGTCACATCATCTTCCATCACCATGTATTTGGCCCCCTTTACCTTTTAATACCCTCCCACCCCTTCCCAGATGTTTTTACAGAAGCCTTTCTAGCACTGTGCTTGGCCCCTGGCAGTTGATCAGCAAATGAATGATTGAATGAAGAACTGAATGAATGGCAGCTGGTAGTGGTCACAGAGATAGTTTGGTTTTCTTTTTGCTTTCTCCAAAAGTGCTCAATGGAGAAAGCAAAAAGACTTGGCGACGTATTTTGTGTTACATTGCATACATCACAGGAAAGGAAAACTATGTCCATTGTGCTTTGTTGCATTAGCACTTGAACTCATGTCAGTCACTTCTCCTTTAAAAAAATTATCATTTATATTGTTTATTTTTTCTTATGATTAAAGGGATATGTGATAATTTTAGCAACTTGAAAAAAATACAGATACCCGAAAAGAGCGGAAAAAATGACTCAACAATCTCACTACCCAGTCACAACCACTGTTAATATTTTGTGAATATTTTTATATTTTTCTATGCAAATACATAAAAATGAGTATAAATATAATATGTTTTTAAGAGGATGCATTTTTTAAACTATATTTTTATTGATTTCAGAGAGGAAAGAGGGGAGAAAGAGAAACATCAATTTTGAGAATCATTGATTGCCTCCTGCATGCCCCTACTGGGGATTGAGCCCACAACCTGGGCACGTGCCCTTAACCAGAATGGAACCCAGGACCCTTCAGTCACAGGATGATACTCTATCCACTCAGCCAAATAAACCAGGGTTAATATGTATATTTATAAAAAATATAAATTCTATTCTGTACATGTTATTTTATTTCCTGCTTTTCCCCTAATTGTGGCTGTCCATATATCGATACATAAGTCTAGATTATTGAATAGCTATATATATAAAAGCCTAAATGACTGTCATGACCAGATGACTGGCCGGCTATGATACCCACTGACCACCAGGGGGCAGATGCTTAATGCAGGAGCTGCCCCCTGGTGGTCAGTGCACTCTCACAGCCAACCTCCCAAGGCTAGCCAACCTCTCGAGGTCCCTCCCCTGGCCGGCTGGACCTGATCATCCCCTATCAGGACCAGGTGAGATAGTCCCATCAGCCTGGATTGCCAAACATGCCAAGGGACCCCACCCATGCACAAATTTGTGTACCAGGCCTTTAGAATATTAATAACATTTCACTATATAAATGTAGCATAATTTATATCCATAATTTTAGGCCAACTAGTTATTATTTAAATAAAAGATGATTACAGAAAGTTTCAAATAACAAGTTTGTTTGTACATTCAGAAGATGATGGCAGTGATTTTTAGAAATTTTCTTAAGGGATGAATTCTGTTCACAGAAATACAACAAACATCTTTTTCAATCCCTATCAGATAATAAACATTTACTTACATTTAAATTTCTTCCTTTCCTTCTCTAATAAAATTAATGCTATGGTGAACATTCTTGGGCCCTCATTTGATTATTTCCTTAGGGTAAGTTTCTGGAAGTGAAGTTTGTGAGTAACACTCAGGTTTTTGAGATGTTTGTTATCTTAGCCCAATAAACACCCTGATGGCTCTCCTGTTCCCCATTGGGCTAGCAGTTTTCTTAATTTCTTATATCTTTATTGCCTAGTTGCTTTTCTTCTTGTGTTAATCATGTCTTCATTTCCTTTGGCCCATTTTCCCATTTTTATTGAGGGTTTTTTTTTTTGTTTTTTTTTATTGATTCTTATGAGCGTTTCCTGTATTTTCTGTTAGTTTGGGAATACTGGCACCTTTACAGTATTTGAGTTTTTCTGCCAGAAACATGTTATCCTTTTCCTTCGATTCATGCTTCCCTTCTCCAGCCTCTGCCAAGCGATGATGTTTTCTTTATAAACATCCCAAACACAATTCTGTTTTCTGTGGTACTTAGAAATAAATTTCCCCCATTTTATTTTCTAAATTGTTATTGCTGAACTTTGGAAAGTTCCTGACATTTATAATTGGCCATTCGGCAGGATTTTGATGGGTTAACTTGGGGAGTTGTATATTCTGTGTAGGTATGTGGTTTACATTCCCAAGACACGGCTTTTTGTTTTTTTTTTTTTGTGGGGAGGTTTGGTTGGTGAATTGGTTTAGACAATTTAAAGGTAAGGGTAATTGGTATTTAGGAGCAAAATGGAGAGCCAGAACAGACGACAGTAAAAAAACAAAACAAAACAAAAAACCAACAAATAAAACCATCAACATCAGTTTTCAGGCTCTGTTGTAAGTGGCAGGAGTGCTGAGCAATACTTGTCTGAGCAAAAGTGGAAGTATCTGTATCATAAAAGGCCTGTGGTTGTGACATCCTCTTGGCGTCAGGACCAAACCGGACTCACCAGGAGGTGTATTGATGGGTCCTGCCATGGGCTGGAATTCTGGAGCATCTCAGGGTGCCAGCAACATCTGCAGAGCGTGCAAGGCTTTGCAGAGCGGCAGACATGGCCCTGATGGCAGGCTAGGCCTAAGGGACCCCACACACATACACACACACAGATACACACACACAGATACACACACACACATACACACAGATACACACACACACAGATACACACACACATACACACAGATACACACATACACACACACACACAGACACACA